GTTTTTAAACTAGTATTATAAAAACTCTATCATTCTGTTCTAATAGCTGAAACATATTCCTGTGAGTTTTCATTTGTCGAATAAACTGTTTGTCAAATACAGAATACATATATTTTAGAACAATTTTCTTTTTAAAATGTGGATGAAATGTTTTGCTTTTTATGTATTTTTTATGTATTGTTTTTGATTTGATAACTTTGAACTAAACAGATTTTCTATTAGCTTCAGATCTTGATCAAAGTTTGGCACCCAGTTCATAGCAGTGCTTATATTGATTTTCTGACATCTTGTTTTCTGTAAAGATTTATTGGTAGGTTTGCAAATGTGTATCAGACTGTGCAATCTCTCCATGAGTTGGTTTTGAAACCCAGTAAGGGATTCTGAGATACATTACCAAGGATATTATTACAAGAAAAATGATTTGCTTCATTGAACACATACAACAATGCATATTTCCACTGAGATCAGTGACCTTTGATGTGTATCACCAGTGATCAGTCAAGTAGAAACAGTCAAAATATTTTATCCGATTTTCTCATTTTTTGCATGGTATTTTCATACAGGACATCTCAGGGAAGACTTTATACTGATGAATAAGGTGACCAAGTTTGATGAAGTTTGGAATAGAATTAGTAAAGTTATTATGCACACAATAACAATTATTAACGACGACGACAACGACAACGCCGGACAAAATTTTTCCCTTAATATACCTTTCCCTTCCATCTTTGATGGTACGAGCAAGGTAAAAAGGCAGTTTTTCTGGCGAAACTCTCGCCAGGTTAGCAATAGTTTCTCACGATCACCAAACCTGAGACACAAACGATAATTCAAAGTGTATAAGTACCATAACAAGCACAATTTCTTACCTTTGAAATTGACGAGACACAATTTTGTCCATATAAGTGTTGCGCAAATAAAGATACAATTCCGGGATACAATATCCACATACAAAAATGACTGTGATTTCCACCGAGACGAGAACTGCGTATGCGTCATCAAAACTCGGATTAAACTCTGGTAATTTCGGGAAAAGTTGGATTTTCCAGCAGTTTTGAAGGGAAAATGTTAAAAATCAAAGAAAAACACAGTGAAACTTGAAAGAATCGAAAAAATAACTCGATGTGCATAATAGCACCATCAATTCCTGTCTCTGTACCAACTCTGAACTGAATTGGATCACACATGTGCGAGAAAAAGCTGGTAACGTGAAAATGTGCACACATGGATGCACAGACACGACCCAAATTAATACCCCCCCACCGACGGGGGCTAAAAAACAAGATGCCTGCCAGTCTTTGATCCAATACAAAGTATATCCAAAATACAACATTTTCAAAAAACAAGATGGCTCCCACATAAAGTACTAGGCACATGCAAAGAATGAACGGAATTGGTCCAAAGGATTCTGAGATATGACTCTGGACGGACGCACAGATGGAGACTGAATTATAAGTCCTTGTTTTCGAACTTCGTTCGAACGGGGACTAATAAACCTGTCAATCACAAACAAGCAGCCACTCAGCTGAGATAGCTCCACTGTTAGCAAAACACTTTTTACAAAAATAAAAAAAATATTCATCAAAATTAGAAAATTGAAGACACAAGTCATTTTCAATGACACGTCCCCGTTCCGTTCATATTTGAGTGACATATACATTCAAAGCAGATCATGACCGAAATGCACCTGCATATGTACAACACATTGTGCTAAATCTGAACAAAATCCATCCATGCATGACTGAGATCC